ACTCAGCAGTTTCTTCCCACCTCTGAAAGCGCTGGGGGAAAAGAAGAAAGAAAAACCACACACGGGAGCTGAGGATTCAACTATATCTTGCAGAGAAAGCGCTGAGCACAATGTCCAGGACACCATGCTGAATGCATGGAAACATTTTTTTTAGCCTTCAAATGCACACACTTTTAACATGCATGAGTTTCAAGGTCTCCAATGACCATGTAGTCTGTGCAAACTTGTGGGTGTATACATCTCTGGTTCCTGAGCCCAGACACTGGGCATAGGTGGCCCCTTCACCAGGGGGTGATTCTTGTTCCCCTGCCCCACAAGGGCCAGCCACAGGTTGGTAGGGCTAGACTCACTCTTCTTCTGTTTTTGCCAGGGTGACTTAAGAATCAAATCCAGGAAGCTGGTGGCCAGGTGGAAGGGCAAGTGGCCTGTAACTGCTGGCTCCCCTACCCTCACCCCGGGGGCAATACCTTGTGCTTCTGCACAGCCTCGCCCGTCGGCAGATTGTGACCACACAGATTTCTGCCAACCTGCTAAGCAGGAAATGAGGTTTCAGGCATGTTTTTCTTTGCATTCATCTTATGAGGAGTGAAGGATGCGTGGGGACACTACGGGTCAGGCTCTGGGCAGTTACCCACAAGGGTTCCACCCACTAGCTGCTCTGCAGGAGAAAGACCAGGATGTCGTCTCAGAAACACTGTCTCAGTGGCTATGAGCTACAACAGACTCGATGGCAGGGACTGGGTTGGGTTGCTACGCGCCTCCTTTAGCGTGTTTGAAGCTCATTTGCGTGTCCGAGGAACTGTAGGAGGGGCTGTCTCTTCAGGGCTGTGAATGCCCAGAATCCAAAGGGCAAGTATGCTGTTGACAGGGCCATCGCTCCCCAGGGGCTGGTGACGCCGCTGCCTGCAGAGCAGTTCTCGCCTGCTGTTGGACCCTCCTTCTGGATCTTTCTTTTTTGCCTTCTCTGTGACTACATGGGTTAGCTTTTACCACCCACGTGAGCTGCTTTCTCAGGCTCTCTGGTGAGGTTTGCCTCCTCTCCCAAATGCTCTCATATGAAGTGTCTCGTGACAAGGCCGAAGTCCATGAAGAAACCAAGCAAAACAGGAAGGCGCAGAACCACACACTAGATACCAGCGGCTTCCCAAAGATCGTGGGAAATGAAATAGGAGTTTTCCCACAAGCTTTTGGAAGCGTCCTTGGACACAGACACTGTTTCCCTCAGAAAAACCTCGGGAGAAACATCCCCCAAATGGTGGTGGTGATAGACGGGGCAGTCTGGTTACGGGTTGGTAGCATGATTTTGTTATGCGTGTAAACCATGCTGCAGAAACGTGCCACTACCACCAGGCTGCCTCCTCTTCATCTCCGCCTCATCCAAGTGCTGCTGCCAGCTTGTCACACTCGGGGGCCAACAGCAGCAGACGTCATCTCAGGCCCCTCGTGGCCAGGAAGGAGCGCATTACTGCCGGGCTGGCCACAGCCTGCCCCAGAGGAAGGCCAAATGCACCCGATTTTCCAGCTCTCTGGACGCTCCCCAAGCCCTCGCTCCATTCTCAGACCCCCAGCCAGTGTCTGGGTGTCTCCCACCTCTCCCAGGAGACAGGGCTTTAAGAGGTGTGGGAAACACCACGGCCAGTCTCTCACCAAGTTCCTAATTTGGCCCAGTATATTCCAAGAGAACTTTTTATGGTCAAAGAAATGTTCTTTCCATCCTGTCTTACAAGGTGGCCGCTGGCCACAGGACAAGTGAGGAGCTCAATTGTACTTATGTGTAATTAATTTAACTAGTCAGTTGTTAGAATCACACCTAGCAGTGATCATGAGCTGGGTAGTTTCGCTGTGTCGTACGCAAGGTCACCATGGGCTGGACCAACTGCACGGCAACTAACTCGCCACGTGTGGCCAGTGGCTGTCTACTGCACAGCTCAGCTCTAAGCCTGGTCTCCCCGCCAGGGCTCGCCTGCAGCGCATCCTCTTGTGCATGTGCGAGCTGCCCCAATGGTGGCAGAGGGCCCGGAAGCTGGGCCAAGGTGAAGAGGGTGGAGGGGCCACTGTACACAGGTGACCTGCAGGAGGAGGTCGGGCCTGAAGCAGTCCCATCCCCACCCTGGGGGCCATCACAATGGCACCAGCGCCTGTGTCACAATGCCGCAGGCAGGAGGCTGAGCAGCAGCAGTCCTGCAGCCCGGTGGGGCGGTTTCCTACAGGGCCACTTCTCTTTGTCTGCAGACCTACTTACAGCGGCCTAGGCGTCAGTGGACCCCGTTTCCTGGGGGATGGAAAAGCACCCAGCAGGCCTCAGGCTGGAGACCCGCAGAAGGGGGCAGGGCCCGTGTGGAGGAGCTGCGGGGAATGGTTCTGGCCCAGGCTCCCGACGCCACAAGGCTCAGCAGCAGATAGAATATTCTGTGAGCAGTGAGCAGCTGCTCATCTTCTTTCTTACAGTTTGGTTCTTCTACTTCTTCTTCCTTCAGAATTACCTCTGAGAGGCCTCCCCCCTTCAGCCTGCCTAGAGGCCCGGCCCAGCCCCTGGGCGTGAAGGCAGAGGGGCTCCGGGCTAGAGAGCAGCTAGGACTCCGAAAACTCCGAAAAGCCAGGCCTCCCTGGGAGCCCTTGGAGATGGAGAGCGGCTGGAGCGGCCGCGGGGGCTCCCCACCCTTCCCCAGGCGAAGGCTACGCTGCGGGGTCCTGTGCCACACACCCCGAGTGCCCTGCTTCCCTCCATCTGAAGAACGGTCGGCAAGGTCCCGCAGGCAGGGCAAGGGACATGGGGCCCCTGGGCAGTGGACCACCACGTCAAGGCTCAAGACCACCCCTGCTCCGCTCGGGGTGCTTCGCTCAGCCACCATGTCCACGGGAAGCTGCACTGTCCCGGCCCCTGGGCTCTGGTGAGAAATAAACTGTCCAGTGAGCCAACTAGGCAGCAAGAGAGATTTTATTCCAGGGCAAAGTAACAGCTCAGAAGTGGCCGGTGCCTTTCCGGTGGGAGGGGTGAGACATGACTATCTTTGGGACGTCTTTAATAGGAGCCCTGGTGGTACCCTGGCTCGGGTGCTTGGCTGCCAACCCCAAATGCTGCTGTTTGAATCCAGCAGCCACTGTGCGGAAGAAAGATGCAGCAGTCTGCTTCCTTAAAGATTCCTAGCCCTTGAGTCCCCAGAGGGTGGTTCGACTCTGGGATACAGGGGTCGGAAATGAGTCCACAGCAGTGGGTTTGGTTGGGGTTTTGAAGAATGGATCCTTGAAGGAAGGGTGTGGATGTGGCCTTGTCCAGACAGGGCAGGTACTGCCCACTCAGTGGCTCCCAGTCCGGTTTCCTATCAGATCAGCTCCCCCAGGTCCTCCTATCAAGAGTCTGGAGAACTTGGCCAATTGGGCCCGGCCCTGTCTTGGCACCCTGGACTTTATATTTATGTGATGTGGGTGGCTTCCAGGAGGTTTGGGGGCGGGGTGAATAGGACCACCTTCCCACCCCCATCCCCACCTCCCACCCCCAAAGAAGGGCTCAGCGCACAGATAACACCCAGGCTGTCAACCTGCTCCTGAGACTCGGGCCTTGACCCCCAAGGCCTCGGCAGACAGAGGGCAGGAGCCCCCCTTCCGGGGAAGTGCCCCCTACAGTCATAGCTGGGGTGGATGGATTCGGGCAGTGGTGCTGGAGTCTCGCCAGCAGGGCAAGGCAGCCGGGCTGCATCGAGGAAGCAGGAGCAGGAAGCCTTTGGCCGCTCAGGTAGGAATCAGCTAGACCACTTACCAAAGCAGACGCCCTAACTCCCACCCCAGGTACTTTAATTAAATCTGTGGGCCTGGACTATGGCCCAAGAGTCTAAACACATAACGAAACGGCCCCTAACAGTCATTCTATCTGCTCCACGTGCACAGCCTGGAAGCCCCATGCTCCCTGTGCCAGGTGGGAGAGCTGTGGCTTTGTGCCTGGGCCACCCCCACCCCCAAAGGACTGTCCAGCCCCGTTGCCTGTACATGGCTGGCTGACTCCCAGCTGGGTAAGGTCAGAGAGCAGGGAGTGGCACAGGGTGTGTTCTCACTGACCTTCCAGAGCCTAGACTCTCTTCAGCACAGCCCGAGTAGAAACATGCATTTTCCCTCTGGGACTCCCTGTGGCTAGATTTTGAATGGAAACAGGGTGCTCCCCAGGAATGGTCCCCAGGTAGCAGTGAAGGCACCTTCCTGCCCCATGGGTGATGTCGGGGCCTCACGCATACACAGACGCATGTTTCTGTCCCTTCAGACAGAGGCGTTGGAAGGGTGGGGCCGCTGTGATTGTCTGTCCTGGTTGGGGGAGGGGGGCGTGTGGGCATGGGTAGGGGACGAGTGGATGATGGCAGACAGGAAGAAGGAGGCTACCCGCACAAGTCAACGATCACTTTATTAAGGCTCGGAATGGTCTCCCAGTGGGGGAAGCTGAGTCATTCACCCCACAGACCCCTGCATGGGTCACTTCGGTGGGGGAGGGGCCACTCTGAAGCTGGGGGCCACTCCTATAGGGCCATTGCAAGGCAAGGGTGCTCCTCTGACAACTGCCCCGCTGGCCAGGGTGTGCACACGAGCCTGCAGGGGTGTGGACAAGTGGGAGCCCTCGGCAGGGAAGGAGTAGTGAGAGGTCTCGGAAGGCAGGGATACCCCTTCCCCCTCCCAACACAACCTATGGCTTTGTTATCCTGCTGCCATGGTAACAAAAGGGTCCTGGTACCCCAACCCCCTGGGCTACACTGTGAGGTGATACAAAAAAAGCCCACCAGGCAAGGAAGGGCAGCCTCAGGGACCTGCTCGCACCCACCCACAGGCTGGGACCTGGCCGGATCTCCGGCACTATGACTCCTCCCGGACAGGTCTTCCCCAGTTGAGGACAGCCACTCAGAAGTGGACCCGTAGCACGTCCTGGCTGGCGACCATCCGTTGGCAGGCTGTGCACACCATGGGCAGGGAGCGCTGCTTCTCACCCAGGCAAGGCCGGCACAGGAGGTGGCCGCAGGGCAGCTGGTACACGGGCTCCTTTCTGAAGTAGGGCGAGAACACTCTTTTGCAGGTGGCGCACTCGGGGCCCTGGCTGCTCCCAGGCTGCTCTAGTGAGTCAGGGAGGAAAGTGGGCCAAGGTTAGAGGGCTGCTGCCTGGGCCAGGCATGTCTACTAGAGCCAGGCGTGCTGGGGGTGGGTAGCATTGCGGCAGCAAGCCTGTGGCCACCTCCCCCAGCCACCTCTGGGAGGCGAGCTAGCAGGGAGCCGGCCTGTGTGGAAAGCCTCAGGAGAGGGCTTCGGAGGGCAGCAGCAGAGAGGCCTGAGCCCTTTCTCGGAGCCTTCCAGGCAGACACACTTTCCCCCAGGAGGAGATGCCAGGGCCAAGGCCGGGCACAGGCTTATCTTGACAAGCAAAAGATCAAAGAAAGAAAAGTGAGCCAGAACAAGAAAATGAGAAAAGCAGGAGATGGCCCAGTATCCTAGGGCTGGGACAGCTCAAGGAGGAGGGAAGTCACCAGGCCTGCCTGCTGAGCCAGGTACCTACCTGCAGGCCGCCCCACAGGCCCCTTCCTGTGCTGCTCTCCTTCCATGCTTCCTGCAGGGCCTTCTGGACAGAGGGCCCAGTGGGCAGGTCCTGCAAGACCCACCGAACTACACTGGCCTTTTCTTCTCTGTGGGCCTGGCCTGAGGAACCTGCTCTTCTTCAGTCCCCAAAGACACCCCGAACTAAAGCTTCTCACCCCACCACCCCATCTGTTTTTCATTACAACAGTCCCGTCCAGCCTCTCATTGGCACCCTCACTGGCTGACTTTCCTCAAAATCAATTTCTAATCTGCCCTCAGTGTCGCCCAAACACAAGCAGACCTCCCCCAGGTTTCTGCTCCCCACCACCTCTGGAGCAGCCAGGACTGCCTGGTTCCCTGTCCAGTCCCACCACACGCAGCCCCGTCTGTCTGGGCCCCGAAGTCTCGGGTTGCTCTCCCTGTGCACACTCGGTTGGGGCCGGACTCAGGATTTGCTGTCCCTTGACCTACCCAGTTGCCGTGGGGCTGATTCTGACTCACGGCACCCGGCACCCCGTGGCTATTGGAGTAAAACTGAGCTCCACAGAGTTTTCAACAGCTGATTGTTCAGAGGCAGCGTGCCAGGTCTTTCCTCCGGCTACCTCTGGGCGGCCCTGAACATCCAATCTTTTGGTAAGGAGCCAAGGACTCCACCACCCTCTGCCTTGACTACCTTTGAGACTTAGCTCAGACAGCCCCCCCCTCCCCCCTTCCAGGGAGACACCTCTGATTGCCCTGCTCCTGCGCTGTCAGTGCCCTGGTAGAAAGATGACCCCCTGCTACCAGGTACTGGCGAGGCATTGTTAAAGGAAAGGGAAAACAGAAGGCAGCCAGGTACACCAACTCCTATCTCCTGAGTGGCTCTCGCAGGATCACAGACTTGGAGTCAAGGAAATGACTGGCCACTAGATAAGGCAGCCTCTTGGTAATGGTCCAAACAGAAACGTAATCAAGTGGGCAGGAGAGGAAGAAAGAATGGGAGGCAGAAAAGGAACGAGGTCTAGAATAAAAACCCAACCCCAATCCTAGTACTTGCTGTGAATCTCAGCGAGTCTATCATCCAACTCCCCAATTCAGGAAAAATTAGTTCATTAGGCGACTTCAGGAAGTGTCTTTCCTAAAACATGGATGCTCAATAGGAAGGGGGGAAGATGGCAGGTTCAACCCTAAGTCTGCCTCCACGCTTACAGAGCAGTCCCCCAGAAGTCAGGTGGGAGGCAGACTAAGTTAGAAAACACACAGAAAAGGAGAAACCAACAAAGGGCCTCAGGACGGAATAATGGACATCAGAACTTACCCCAAACTAGAGGCAGGATGGCCACAGCCGAAATCCACAGAATGACTAGGGCTTGTCTAGAGAAAGCCTTTTCCCAGCAGAGTTAATTTTTACAGGCTGCCCTCAACTCCTGCTGGCAAAGGAAAGCCCAGCGCTCTCCTCCCTCAGCCTGGGTGCTAGTGCTGAGGGGAGGCGGCCCCCCTGCCACACTGTGCAGCGGGCAGACCACCAGATGGAGGACTCTCAGGATATGGACGGGGCCCATGTTACCGGAGCTGGCACCTGGCCTCCAGGAAGAGTGGCTCCCTCTTGTGGCAAGGTGCTGGGGCTGTCCCTTGGTCATGCGAGCCGTGAAAGAGGGCATGGAGCCCAGGGTCGATGTCAAGGCGAGTTCCAAGCTTTGTGACAGCTTCTGCTCGTGAGACACTGGACCTGCCAAGAGACGCACAGACCACATCTAGAGAGAAGCTCGGCAAAAGAGAACAAGCTACTCGCTGAGGGCTGCAAAGACGACAACAGGCGCACTTCCTACTGGTCAGCCGGAAACTGGTGGGGCCCCCACGACGCTGGCCCTGAGTCACCCTCCAGGGGGTGAACTGAACTCACCCCCGTGTCAGAAAAATCAACCATTTGCGATCAAAGGGGCAGCGTTTGCCCCAGGAGACATGGGGAGGAAGCCGGGTAGGGAAGGCACGTTGAGGGTTGTGATGAAGAGTGGAAACACAAATGTGTATGAACTGCTGAATGTAAAACATCTCTATAAAGCTTCACCTAATGTGGGAAACAGAAGGATTTCTCTCAAGCTGTCTCCCCCAAATATATGCCAGACTTAGCTGCTTGAGAATGACTGTACACTTGGAGGTCATCAGGAGTGGATTGGGGGTCATTCTCCCTGAGAGTTATCAGCTATCTAGACCAAGCAGACACCACTGTTTATCCCACAACAAGTAGGGCCCACTCCCTTCTGATAGGTGGAGACACCAGAGAGGTTAAACCCGCCCAAGGATGACCAAGATTCATGCCATCATGAATCTAGGGTCCGCCCATCTTGTCACATGTATACCCCTCGACCTTCCCATTCCTATGGGCAAACCCCTAGTCCATCCCCTTCCTGCTACACTTATGCCTATCATAGATCCCCTTCCTACAATGTGTACGCCTATTGTACTGCCCCTTCCTGTGACGTGTGATTCTATAATCATGTCCCCCTAAAGTGATATAATGCTTGGTTAGCAATAAAGAAGGAGGCTCCCCAGTTCTCGGCCCGAGGCTGTTCCTGCTCTCGTGGCCGGGTTCCCCACACGAGGACCTTGATCAAGCGGGGCTGAGGTGAGCAGTGCTACCATGGATTGTGTCTGACTCCATTTATTCCAATCTCTCCTCTAACGCTCATGCTCTCTATGCCTTTACTACAATCCTTACTTATTATCGCTGTACAATTGCGCCTACCGGACTTGTGATGATTTGTGGGGAACCCCTCTCCCCTTTAACCCTACAACCTAATTCCCAGAAAGGTTTTAAAAAAAGGGACTCTGGCACTTGCGACTTGCAATGACGTCACTTGTAAAGAAACTTCTACTGGTGGGTCGTGGTAGCAGAACACTGGGAACTAAAACCCTGGCAACCCGGCTGTTTCTACCCTTCCCACACTGGCTGTGGGTGCCTCAGCTTGCCTCTAGCTTTTCTCCTCCTGGACTCGGGGCTAGCTGGGCCACCTTGTGGTGCAACTTCAGAACTGCACCCTACTTTCTAAAAGCTTTTCTGCAGGCCAAGGACATGAGTGGGAGCAAGCAAAAGCCCATCTTAGTCTTCCTCCCTGCCCTCCCACCAGCCCGAGCCTTCTCTTTCCCCACCTCTTGTTCTGCCGGGCCCCATCACACCTGCATAGCCACTTGCTTGTGCTCTCTGAGCACTTGTGCCCCCCTCTCTCCTGTTAACTAGAAGCAGTTAGTACTAGATTGGGATAGCCAAGACCTCACTCTGCCTGCCCCCGATCTAGGGCACTTCTGTGTGTAGTCATAGGAAGCCAAGCTAGTGATTGAGTGGTAGGGGGAGAGGTTTGAAGAAAAGAGAGAGGATGCAGGGACCTGCCTGGTCGAAGCATTCACAAGACTGTCCCAAAGTGGGGCGTGGGAAGTTTCATCTATAGTTTGCAGGACATAGGACATTATTGACTTGGAGGCTTGGAGAAGCAGCCAGTGTGGTCCTGTGTCACTGCTGAGTCAGCCTAGGCCAGAGCCACACACAGACCAGGAGTCTTTGGACCTCTCTCGACCTCCTGCCCCCACGGTACTTCCAAGGATTCCTGGAATTTTTCTCAAAATCAGAGAAGGCACAGATGTCACTGCTAGGTACCTGCTTTGGATCAGCTTTCCAGAGCCAGAGAGTAAATAAGAAGTAACACCAAATGTAAACAGACTAATTTTCATGAAGAAAAAGTTGCCAAGGAGGTAACTTCCGAAAAGCACTGGCACTGACAATCCCAGGAGGAACCCAGCCCTAAACCAAGCTCAGCGCCATCAAGTGGATTCCAGCCGACAACGCCCCTCCTACACTGTCAGTCACTAGGCGAGCAGAAGTCTTTCTCCCACAGAGGGCTGGGGAGTTTGGCCAATGGGACTGCAAGCAGCCCTAAACCTAGCCCACAGTGCAACCAGGAATCCTTCAGGGGAGCCTACTGCTATTTAAGTTGTTCCACAGTACAGAAGAAGAAAGTCACTGATACCAAAATTTGATCAAACACACCCAAGAAACTATAGCACAATCTCACTAGTAAATGTAAAAACCCAATGTAATAACATTAGCAAACAATGAAAGAATCAAGACCAAATCGAGCTGAAAACCTACACATGTACTTAACGCATTAAATATCAACTGCATTGACACTGAAAAAGGCACCAGGTGAAACGGAACCTCTGAACCGTGTGTAAGGAGCCCTGGTGGCACAGTGGTTACAAGGTTAGCAGTTGGAAACCGCCAGACAGTCTGAGGGAGGATGAGGGAGGCTTCCCTCAGAAAGCCTCAGAACCCCAAAGGGGAAGTTTTACTCTGTCCTATATGGTTACTATGAGTTGGAATCAACTTGGACCTGGCAGTGAGTTTAGGCTTTGGGGGAGGTGGGGGTGGGGTGGGGGTGGGAAGAGCATCAGGTTTAAAAATGAAGAAACCAATGGTATGAAAGACGACAGCCTTTGGGCATCTCATCCCCTGGATGTGGGCTGGCCTCTGGGCCTGGCAGTCAAAGTGGTGGGCTCCCCGAGGTCAGGTCCTTAAGAGACTATGATGACCCCCCTCTAGCTTGCACACTCCTTCTCTCGCTCTTCCTACTTGCTCTGGTGACACCAGCGACCACATTATAAGTTGTCCAAAGAGAAGCTCTTGTGGCAGAGAACTGAGTCGCCTCAACCTTTTGACTAGAGCAGCGGTTCTCAACCTGTGGGTCGTGACCCCATTGGGGGTCGAATGACCCTTTCACAGGGGTCGCCCGATTCATAACAGTAGCAAAATTACAGTGATGAAGTAGCAACAAAAATAATTTTACAGTTGGGGGGGTCACCACCACATGAGGACCTGTATGAAAGGGTTGTAGCATTAGGAAGGTTGAGAAGCACTGGACTAGAGCCTGCATATGATCTTGAAATCAAAGACCTACACTAGTCCCACTTTGATTCCTGACCACAGAAATATGAGATAATCAATGTCCGTTGCTTTCAGCCAGAAAGTTGCGATGTAATTTGCTAAGCACCACGAGACAGCCAATACAAATGGGTTTTTCATTAACTAAAGAAGTTCCCAGCTCAGCTCCAAGCCCAAAGCTGAGTTTATACTTGTACGGCGGCATTGATCCTGGCATTAGGACATGACAAGGAGGCCCATGACCAGCTATGCTATTTAACACTATGCCAGGGTTAACAGCCTAAACATTTATTCAGACAAGAGAAAGAAGTGAGGCTACAAAAGCTTAGAAAAAGAAAATGATGACTCTTTCTACTATAAGATTGTACAGGAGGCAGGCAAGTCAATAAAGGTATTGGAATACAAAACTAATATACAGACATTATGACTTTCATACATTTGAACAAAAATCAGTGAGAAAGCATAAAGGAAGAACAGGCTCTATTTAGAGCCGTATCAAGATTCAACTTAGAAGGCAGATCCAAATAAAGACACGTGAGCACACTGGAGGGTGGGCCAGAGGGCCTGCGGGGGGCGCCGCCAGGCCAAGAAGAGCCAGCAGAAAGCCTCACCTCCACGCTGATGCACAGACCTTCACGCGATCCCACTTTTCTTAACATTGTGTTTGCGGGAGGGGGGGGGGGGGGACGACTTACTTTCACAGCTATTAAAACATTATTAGAAACCAGAAATTAAAATAATGTTACAGGCACATGAATAAATAAGGAGACCAATAAAATGATAGGAAGTCTAGTTACAGTCAGGTATATTTAAGAATGTATGTATATGACTTCAGTGGCATTTCAAATCAATGGGAGAGTTAATAAATGGGTAAAGAGAAGTGATAGCCGTATTTTATTTTTTAGTTAGCCATATCCTAATACCATTCCAAATGGATTAGAGATTTCATGTAAAAGTATTCAATTTAATCAAGTCATAAAGATACTAAAACAACGTATAGGAGAACTCCTTGGATGGAGAACATCTTTCTAAATGACCCCAAAACCAGAAGCTATGAGAAAGAAAAGAAACGACTTAAAACTCGACTACACTGTAAAACCAAACCAGACACCGAGGTGGCCAAACACAGTCAACCCTGCACTGCCCCACGTCCTCCCCAGAAGAAAACGCCGTGGGAAAACACATTGCAGCTCATAAAGTCAAAGTGCCAATCTATACAGACTTCCCCAAATTACAAAGAAAAAGACGACCAGTACCTAGTAAAAAAAGAGCACAGGAGATGGACAGTACACAAAAAAGGTAACAAATGTTTTTGTTTAATTATATGAGAAGGCACTTGATCTCACTAACAAAGAAAATGAAACCAACATTAAGATACCCACCCCACCCTTATTTTTTTAAGCTATCAAAATGATAGCTTGGAAACACATTCTGTTAGGAAGGTGGGAGGAATCTCCGGAACGTGACCTCGCCCTACAGACACCCTTGCATATGTCCCAAATGACACATGTCCGACTAATTCACTGCAGTGTTCTTTGTCATAGCAAATGGCTGAAAACAGGCCACACGTCAATCAAAAGGGGAGTGGTTAGGTTTTTACCAGAATAAGGTACCCTGGTGGTGTAGCGGTTTAAGAGTTAGGCTGCTAACGGTAAGGCCAGTAGTTCAAACCCACAAATTGTTCCTTGAGAGATGTTAAGGCTTTCTGCTCCTATAAAGGTGTCCAGTTGTCCTCTAGAGTTGCTATGGGTTGGAATCAATTCAATGGCAGCAAGTGGGGCTTGGTTTTGGTTTTTAGAATGAAATGTATTGTCCATCTGTTTGGAACACAGGAAAACCACAATGGTCCTGCATGCAGGATCTCAGGAGTGAACCTGAATGGTTGGTTCAGAAAGCAAAGGTTCCCAAATCTAAGCTCAATGAAGCAGGGAACATGAGAAATGGTTGGGGTTAGGGAGAGGGAACTACTGTGGTCAGAAACCCAAGCTTGAGCCAAGCAACCAGGGCTGACAGAACACATTAAGCTGCAGAGAGAGGCCCTTAGGGAACCAAGGTCCTCAGGAGATGACAGGCACCCCTGGGCCGAAGAACCACTGGCAATACCCCAGACAAGATGCCTCTAAAAAACTCACTTCCGTGAAAAAAACCCAAAAAAAACCTCACTTCCGTGAATAAGGGGGAGTGCAGGGTGGGTACCCAAAGCCCATCTGTAGGCAACTGGACATCCCCTTACGGAAGGGTTCAGTCAGGGTGCAGTGTAGCAACAATGAAACATACAACTTTCCTCTAGTTCTTTAATGCTTCCTCTCCTCCTCCCCCACTATCATGATCCCAATTCTACCTTACAAATCTGGCTAAGTCAGAGGATGTACACTGGTACAGATAGGAACTGGAAACACAGGGAATCAGAGAGAATCCAGGTCGGATGATCCGTTCAGGACTAGTGGTGAGAGTGGCGATACTGGGAGGGTGGAGGGAGGGTGGGGTGAAAAGGGGGAACCAATTACAAGGATCTACATATAACCTCCTCCCTCAGGGACGGAAAACAGAAAAGTGGGTAAAGGGAGACATTGGACAGTGTAAGATATGACAAAATAATAATAATTTATAAAGTATCAAGGGTTCATGAGGGAGGGGAAAGCGGAGAGGGAAGGGAAAAAATGAGGAGCTGATGCCAAGGGCTTAAGTGGAGAGCGGGTGTTTTGAGAAAGATGAGGGTAACGAATGTACAAATATGCTTTATACAACTGATGTATGTATGGATGTGATAAGCGCTGTATGAGCCCCCAATAAAATGATTAAAAAACAAAAATTTAAATGCAAAAACAAACAAACTCACTTCCATCAAGTTGATTCCAACTCATAGTGACCCTGTAGGACAGAACAGAATTGCCTCTGAGGATTTCCAAGACTATAAATCTTATGAGTAGAAAGTCTTACCTTTCTGCCAAGGAACAGGTGGTGGATTCGAACTACTGACCTTGCAGTTAACAGGCTAGTGTGTAACCCAAGAGCCAGGATGCTGAAATCCCAGGCCATCAAGTGTTTCAACCAGGGTTTCCAAATGGCTCAAAGCCCTGCTGAGAATCTGCCTTTCCACCTGAGACATAGTCAGCATCTACGATGTCACAGGATCCCCAGATAAGAACAAGGAAGAATCACCTGGGGGCCCTGTGGAATCGTAGACGGGGTAGAAACACCAAGAGCCAGTGTGCAGTTCCGATTTCAGCTGGCTCACACACTGAGCACCTTGCGCAGTGCCTTCTCTCTTCACTAGGCCTGCCTCCCGAAAGGAGGTCTCCCAATCTCACACTGGAGGGAGGGAGGATCTCCGTGCACTGACAACACTGCACCTCTATTAGAGTCAGCTGCCCTGCAGAAGCCACTGACGCACGAGTAACTTTAAGGAGGGTACCAGGAGGGTGGCCTGGCCTGCTCTGAAGAACTGGTGTCTCTCCTTCCAGGGCAAAGTGCTGACTTGACGAAGAACAAGTAGGAGGCCCCACTGAGCAATGAGGAGGAGGCCTGGCACTAGCTGAGGGGCTTATGCTAGCCAAGCATGAAGCCCCAAACCAAACCAGATGATGCAGGACCCCTGTGGCCCGAGAAGACTATGGACAGAGCACAGAGATTACCTGATGAGCAGTCCATGTGTGTCAGGCCCAGCTCGCTGGCGGCTTTCATTTTCTTAGCTGTGTGCTCTGAGGTAGTGGCTGACACCAGAGGGCTTGCGGGAGAAAAATAGGTCGTATGTCCACCCAGGCTGCTGTCTAGGGCCTCTGCAGCCTGCTCTAGCTTCCTTTTCCGAGAAGGTATGACAATGGAGGAAGGGGTCACTGCCATTGCAGTCTGTGCCCGCCCAAGCAGGTGGCAGCCAGGGACAGAGTGCTGTAACAGGAAATGGTCAATCCGGGCCTTCAGAGACGGGTGAGGCAGGGGCTGGGAATGTGGGGTAAAGGCTACCCCCGTGAAAGGGTCGCTGGGTACCCGGCCCCAAGAAGCTTCACTCCGGTTACACTTCTCTAACGTGCTCTGGTCGATGACTTTGCCTGAGGGCAGCAGCATGGGGCAAGGCATGATCTCCAGGGTGATGGGATCCAGGAACTCCTCAGGCACATCCTGGATGACCTCTGCCAGCTTCTGCAGGCTGGAGGGGGCCTGGTGGCCCTCAGACTGGCCCCCAGGGTCACAGTCACTCTCCATGGGCAAGGCGGGGGCCTGCAGAGCCACGCCCAGAGGGAGGCTCTCGGAGGCAACCAGCAGGACACTGTCTATCACTTCCTGGGAGCAGGTTTTGGCTGGCTGCCCCCACACTTCCAACCGCTTGATGCAAGGCACACCGCCGCCTGTCACATGAGTGATACAGATCTTCACATGGGCCACATGGCTCAAGGAAAGAGGCCCTTTGTTCCAGAGTTCCTGGGCCACGACAGCAGGGGAGGCAGGGGAGGGCAGTGTGGCTTCCATCAGGCCAAAGGGTGGCCTGGCCTTGAAGCCCCTGTGGCTAAACACCACTTGGTTCTGGCTTTTCAACAAGAGTTTGCCCACCAAGGCGAATGCCTCCTTGTCTGGGATGGATGGCGCGGCGGGGCCTGGGGCCTGGCACTCAGGGGAACACCAGGAGGCTCCGCTGCGTAAGGCGGACGTGTATATTTCCATGCCAGTGACAGGAGAGCTGCCCCAGGATGTGAGGTCTACGTTGATCCGACAGATTTCCACGTTAAAGGGAAAGGACACCGTCACATAGACCGGCGGCTTAATGAAATATTCTGTCCTAAAACCGCGACTTCGCTTGGTGAGGTCTTCAGAGATGAGATTTTCAACTTCATACCCATCAGCTGATATCTAGATTTAAAGACAAATGGAGACACGTTGAGTTAATGAGGTCCAAGGATGATGACGCATTTTTCAAGAGCTTGCCATTGCTAGGCAAGTTTGAGTCCAACATTTATATTTTCTTCTATAGAACTAGTCCTCTTAGGTTTTTAGGGTTTTGCTGTTGTTGTTGTCTTTGTTTATAAGTACTCAAGAGCAGGTCACAGGTTGGGGTGTGTCCCTAAGTACTACCCACCTTAAAATGTATGAGCAATAAAGCTCTGACCCAGCAAATTGGACGTGCCTTCAATTTAACACAAACGCAACTATTCAATTACTATCAGTCCTTCAAAACAAAATATCTGTGAACAGGAAATTAAAATAGTAGTGATCTCTTTACTTCAAAGGATTTAAAAAAATGTAGATTCAGGGAGGCACAAAGGGTGTTCGTTCTATTTCTCCGTTTTCTGACTGCACCCCACCAATTATAGCTTTGCTCAGGCAGGCTTAGTAGCAGCACACAAGCTTCCTGTCAGTCTATGAAGGCTGAAAAATGTGCACCCGGACCACAGGACCACAAAGAGTACAAGACTGGGGAGCGGGCAGTGCCCCGTGGCGAGATGCCACCTCGCTTTTAGGAAACCTACATCATTACATCATTGACAACGGAAAGAAATCTAAAGAGGGTTTTGCTTTTACAGTAAAAATAAGTAACGGCAAGCAGAGCATTTAAAAGTGCACAGTATAAGAGAGGCAACACACACAAGGAGGGCTGTTACCCACCTCCCTCCCCAGGGACTGCGCTCAACATCCAGCATCAGGCCACCACAGCTTTGAACTGGGTCTGTGAGCAGCATATGCTAAGGACACTTCAGGTTTGTGTGCTGTTTGGTAAAGACGTGGCAGGTTATTTTTTGGCCTAGGAAGGCTTAAAAATCTCTCCATCTAAATGAATGGTCATTGTGTCTTCACCTACGACATTTTGGCTCAGGAAAGGACTCGCTCATTGGAGCACTCTACTTTCAGACAGCGGGGAAACCTGTTCTCACAGGCAGTGGAAATGGTAAAGGTATCTATCTTGTCAGCCTCTGCAGCAGTATGTCATGCACAGATATGCCAAAGTAGGGCAGGGTTCAATTCTTCCTCCGGTGGCTCCCTCCTCCCTGCAGGGAGCTATGGAAAGAACTCCTTCTTTGCACAAATGGGGAGGGAGGCAGCTTAATTCCAACAGTAAGGAACCAGGAACCCAAATAACAAATCCAAAGTGTAATTTCTAGCACACGGGTTTGGCAGGAACAATGGAAGGAGGAGAGAATATTTCTACCTTTGCTCTGGCTTTGGGTGAGATTACACTGTGTCATCAAAAGGTAAAAGCACGATGAGGCTGACCCTCCACCCTGTGAGTGATGGCTCGCCCCGTGAGTGCTGCGTAACTCTGCACACACATCCTGCGCCACGCTTAGACACCAGCCACTTCCACAAGACAGGACATGGGGAAGATATATAAAATGCATATTATTTATTCATCAAATGTCTGAGTCTATTTAGTTTACCTTGTTGCAGTGAATTCTTGGTCTGAACCGTGGAAGGCAAAGATTTATTACCATCTTTGTGGCTGAAAGAATAGGTTCCAAGCATCAGAAATAGCCTTAAATAAAAAAAATAAAACTGGGTATTAGACAAACTTAATTCTAAACTTTTAGAACTTGCATACTACGAAAAGTACACAGGATAACAACAAAGTAATACAGTACATACACATACACACTCACTTTCTTGGTCTATTGACTCTGTTGATATCCTATAAGTGACTTGGGGTAAGGTGAGTTACTTAAGACATATAAAGACAAATCTTACATGATCTCACTAAAAGGAAATATCTAAAATAGGCAATGCGTAGGAAACAGAACCACCCCTTGTAGGTGGGCCTCTCCAGTGGAGCGGGACTGAATGAAGCCAGTCAGTAGATTGCTTTTCCATCTGGGAGGCCTACCTCTCATCAGCCCAAAGATAGGCAGTCTTTTTGTTGTCATGACCAGTGTGTGACACACACCAAGGTCATGTATGTTGCTCATCCTGCCACATCTGTGTGGAGAGTTCTGCACAGTGAAGATCTGTCTCATGATTTTTTAATGGTTACTATTATTTCAGTCTAGCCCCTAACTCAATTTTACACATAAACACAAAGTTTTTGGCTTTTTAAAAAAATCATTTTATTGGGGGGCTCTTACAGCTCTTGTAACATTCCATACATTAATTGTATCAAGCATGTTTGTACATATTTTCCACCATCACTTTCTAAACACTTACTTTCTATTTGAGTCCTTGATATCAGCTCCTCCCCTCCTCCACCCTCGTGACCCCTTGATAAATTATAAATTATTTTCATGTCTTACACCAACCGCTATCTCCCTTCACCCACATTTCTGTTGTTCACCCCCCTGGGGAGGGGGAACACACAGTATTTTTTAACATGATTTTACTATATGCTATATTTTTTTGGCAAATCTGCTGCAAAAAACTCTTTAAAATGTTGAAGAGCAAGGATGTCACTCTGAGGACTAAGGTGTGCTTGACCCAATTATCTCATATACACACCAACACTGACAATGAATAAGACTGAAAAAATGATGGTTTTAAATTATGGTGTTGGGAAGATTACTGAATACATGACAGACTGCCATAAGAAAGAAAAAAATCTGTCTTGGAAGAAGTACAGACAGAATACTCCTTAGAAGATAGAATGGAGAAATTTTCTTTTTATTTCTTTTGTTTTATTAGGGGCTCATGTAATTTTTATCACAATACATACATACATCAATTGTGTAAAGCACATTTGTACATTCACTGCCCTCATCATTCTCTAAACATTTGCTCTCCACTTAAGCCCCTGGCATCAGGTCCTCATTTTTTCCCCCTCCCTCAGGAACCCTTGATAATTTATAAATTTTTATTTTGTCGTATCTTGCCCTGTCCAACGTCTCCCTTCACCCACTTTTCTGTTGTCCATCCCAAGGGAGGAGGTTACATGTAGATCCTTGTAATCGGCTCCCCCTTTCCAACACACCCTCCCTCTACCCTCCCAGTATCGCCACTCACACCACTGGTCCTGAAGGGATCATCCACCCTGGATTCCCTGTTTCCAGTTCTTATCTGGACCCGTGTATATCCTCTGGTCTAGCCAGACTTGCAAGGTAGAATTGGGTTCATGATAGGGGGTGGGGGGGGAGAGAAGCATCTAAGAACTAGAGGAAAGTTGTATTTTTCATTGTTGCTACATCACACCCTGACTGGCTCATCTCCTCCCCGAAACCCTTCTGTAAGGGGATATCCAGGGGCCTACAAATGGGCTTTGGGTCTCTACCACACACTACCCCCTCATTCACTATGGTAAGATTTTTTGTTCTGATGATGCCTAATACCTGATCCCTTTGACACCACGTGATACAGGCTGGTGTGCTTCTTCCATGTGGGCTTTGTTGCTTCTGAGCTAGATGGCTGCTTGTTTACCTTCAAGCTTTCAAGACCCCAGACGCTATATCTTTTGATAGCCGGGCACCATCAGCTTTCTTCACCACATTTGCTTATTCACCCGCTTTGTCTTCAGCAGTTGTGTCGGGAAGGTGAGTATCATAGAATGCCAATTTAATAGAAGAAAGTATTCTTGCATTGAGGGAGTACTTGAGTGGAGGCCCAATGTCCTTCTGCTACCTTAATACTAAACCTATAAATATATGCACATAGATCTATTTCCCAGGATGGAGAAAATTTCTATCACATTTTTTGGACATGTGTCAGGAGAGACCAGTCCGTGAAGAGGAGCATCATGCTTAGTAAAGTGGAGCATTAGTGAAAATGATGTTCACTTTGTGATGGTTAGGTTTTGTGTCAACTTGGCTGGGTCAGGAGTCTCAGTGGTTTGGCAGTTGAGGCCTCTTCTGTGATGTGATGTAACATAACGTAATCAACTCCATGATAGGATCAAGCATCACAGCCAGTACAGGAAGATTAGAGTGGAGTGCTATCCCCTTAATCAGGGGCATAATCAGCCTTAATACAAGGAAAAGGAAGTTTCTTTGAGGGGGGGGGGGGTCACTCCTATTTAAGCAGACTCTGTGGGAAGACTCCTCCCCTTCGTACTGGGCCTTGCATCTGGCTTATCAACCTGCCATAGTGCCTGCCAGCTTTGGGTGCTATCAGAAGCCTGCTGACCTTGGATTCTTTCAACGAGGCAGCCACCAGCCTGACTTGGTGACCTGGAATTATTCATACACCCTTGCCTCACCAGCCGGTGGTATTCCTGCATCCTAGTTCATCTTCCCGTTTCTTGGTTTGTCAGCTCCAGCAGCTATGTGAATCAGGAAAAGCCTCCAGCTAACATCTGACCCATGAACTTGAAACAGACTGAATTTAACTGCTTCTGCAACTGTGAGCCACTTTCTTGACATAAAATTATTTCCTCGCATATATGTCACTGGTTTTACCTCTCTAGAGAATCCAGCCTTACACAGTCTTCAAAGAGATACATTAACATAGTGGCTGCAACAATGGGCTCAAACATAGGAACAATTGTACATAAAATGATTGGTATGCATCCTTGTGTTGCTAGCATTTTTAATGCTTCATCTTTGAACATTAGTTAGATTGAAGTATTACTTATATGTCAATAAAATACTAATTTTTATTCTTTTTCTTAAAAATTCAGGAATATGCTTTGAATTCTATTTTTCCCCAACATATTGGGATTATATTGGTTTTCTTAACTGGCATATTAATGAGACAGAATAACACATTTTTCTAATTTTTAACCATCCTCTTAATCCAAGGATATGTGTGGTTGTAGCAGATTGTTCTTTAAATGAGTTTCCAAATTTGCTTTGTTTATATTGAATTTTAGATTACAAGCCCTGTGCTAAGGATAGGAAGCCCTCGTGGTGTCGTGGGTTATGCATTGAGCTGCTAACCACAAGGTCAGCAGTTTGAAACCACCAGCTGCTCTGTGGGAGAAAGATTAGACTTTCAACTCCCGTAAAGGTTTACAGCTCCGGAAACCCACAGGAGCAGTTCTCCTCTGTCCACAGGGTTGCTATAAGTCAGAGTTGACTCAATGGGAGCGAGCCTAGTTTTGGTTTTGGTGCGAGGCATTAAGTCTAGATAGAAACATGAAATGGTCTTAAGAGAAACAAATCAGAAAAGGAGGGTAAGGAATGCGTGTACATCTCAGAGAGTGTTACCAATGCCACTGAACTGCACAAGGAAAACTGTTGGTTCTACTGTGTATACCCTCCACAACGACAACAAAAATAAATTATTTTTTAAAAGATGAAACAGTATGGTCCTCTGAAGTGAAGAGATTTCCATCCAGTAAAGACTTTGGAACACACAGGTTTGTAGCCGAGCTTTCTGCAGGTGTCAGAGTGGAGGATGGCGTAAACTGACATTTTCTAATTTACAGTTTCCAAGGTCAAATTATGGATCAAAGGGGTGGCACCCCATTGACCAAAAGTACCCTCAGATAAAACTAAGACCTAACTCACTACCCTCAGGTCAATGCTGACTCACAGCAACCCCCTGTGAGTTTCCGAGACTGTAACTGTTTATGGAAGTAGAAAGCCCAATCTTTCTCCCATGGAGCTGCGGGGAGTTCCAAAGATCACAGCCCAACAAGTAACCACTACATACTCAGATAATGGGGAAGAATTCACAGGAACAGCATTTGAACTGGGGACTACTAGGACATATACCTGAGCTCATGAGCAATTCTACCCACTAATAGTACAATGGACCACAAAGGCTCATCAGTAGAAGCCAAGGAAGCCCTGATGGTATCGTGGTTGTGTTGGGCTGTTCAAAACTGTCCATCCACAGCTCCGTGGGAGAATGACTGGGCTTTTTACTCCGATAAACAGTTACAGTCTCAGAAACCCACAGGGGTCACTATGAGTCAGCACTGACTAGATGGCAGTGAGTGAGTGAGTGAGTGATAGGAGCCAAGAGGCACAAACAAGAAAAGGCGACTGGCAGTGAGCAGGTTTCCAGCAAGAGTCAAGGCACAGAAGTGGGATGATGTGAGGTGGGTTCAGGACACACTGAATGTTCCACTTAGCTGGATAGGGGAGTAGGGAGCAGGGCTGGGAAGGCCTTGAAAGCCACGCCAAAGGGTTGTCCACCGCGTAATTGAGCAGTGTATCTCCAACCTGCAGGTCAAGAATTGAGAAGTCACTCGCCATAGCTAACAGTTTTTAAAAATTAACTAGAACAGAAAGAAAATGCCGGAGTACACTATACATAAAGGCAAAGACTGACTGTCTTGTGAATCTTTCGCTTCGATTATATATATATGTATGCTTCTTCTGGGTTTTGGTGGGTTTTTCTTATTTTAAAAAAAAAAAAGCTTTCAAAGTTACTGGTCTGAGGAAAGTCAAAAAGACTTGTAGCAGGAGAGAAATGACAGGAACAAAAAGTCTGCCATTGACCTAGATGACAACAGCAAGTGTGAACCACTTAGTGGCAATCTGCCCTTCCAGGGGCTTCCCTTTCCCCAGCTGATGCAGGCCTCCTATCTTTCTTAGACTTAACTAGGGCTGTCTTCGCAGATGGCTTCTTGGAGACATCAAAGACGCGCCCCGAAGCACATACTGCTTAGAA